AAAATTTTCACTTGAAATTTTGTCTTTATTAAATATATTTTCCCCTCACATGAGGACAAATTCAAAAATTCATCAAATCAAGCACATAAAATAAACTTCATCTTGGTATCCGTCATAAACATCCAGGATAGTCATTCATAAATGCATTAATTTTTTATTGGTTTTTCAAGAAATAAAAGTTTGGTGATGATCAAACATCCTAAAGTGAACGATCAAATCTTCTGAAGTCATTTCCTCAACATGCAGCAACAAGCATACTGTCTGTTTCCTTTGAGATTGTTTATCTCGAAACAAAGTGTCGTCTCGCTAGAGACAATTTTTCTTAAAAATAAATTTTGTCTCGCTTGAGATAATTTTCTCTAAAATTAAATTTTGTCTCTCTTGGGACAATTTTTCTCAAAACAAATTTCGTCTCGCTTGAGACATTTTTCCTTTGAGATGCAAATTTCGAATTTGTTTCACTTGAAACAAAGTTGATCTCACTTGAGGTTGTTTTTCTCAAAACAAATTTTGTCTCACTTGAGACGGTCTTCCTTAAGACACGAACATTGAGATTATTTTCCTTGAAACAAAGTTTTGTCTCTCTTGAGACAGTTTCTCTTAAAATAAAAATCTTTGAGTTTGTTTCCCTTGAAACAAAGTTTTGTCTATCTTGAGACAGTATCTCTTGAAAAAAAAATCTTTGAGTATGTTTTCCTTGAAACAAAAATCTTTGAGTCTGTTTCCCTTGAAATAAAGTTTTGTCTCTCTTGAGACAGTTTCTCTTGAAACAAAAATATTTAAGTTTGTTTCCCTTGAAACAAAGTTTTGTCTCTCTTGAGAAAGTTACTCTTGAAACAAATCCCTAAAGATGGTCAGTCGTCCTCATCACGTAGAAACCGTGTCATCCACTGACCAGATTTCCTCATCACGTAGGAGTCGCATTAACCTTAGATAACCAGTCGTCCTCATCACGTAAGAACTGTATTATCATTTATCCCTAAAGATGGCCAGCCGTCCTTATCACGTAGGAACCGTGTCATCCATCGACCAGATCTCCTCATCACGTAGGAGCCGCGTCAACCTTAGATAACCAGTCATCCACATCACGTAGGAACCGTGTTATCATAATCCATAAATATGGTCAGTCGTCCTCATCACGTAGGAACCGTGTCATCCACCGACCAGATCTCATCACGTAGGAGCTGTGTCACCCCTAGATATCTAGATTTCCTCATCACGTAGGAACCGTATTATCTCTAAATTTACCTAAAAATGACCAGAACTCTTCATCACGTATGAACAGTGTCATCATCAACAACAAACATATCAAGTTTCATAACAAACAGAGAATCAAACAAAAACTTATCTTTTCATCTTTGCCCTATTCTTGTTAACACAAGAATAGACAAAGAGGGGTAGTTGTAGACACCCATTTTTGTCCGAGTCTTTTATTATTATTATTATTATTGTTGTTGTTGTTGTTGTTGTTGTTGTTGTTGTTGTTTCATCAATATTATTTAATTACATTTTTGTGTAGGCCAAAAATGGAGCCCAAATTACAGTATCAACCCAGGCCCAAAGCAAATACAAGGCCAACCCGATTACAAGCAAAGCCCAATGATACAGAACCAACACCCAGGGCATAACCCACCAGAGAATCCAGCCGACCCGATTGGAGCCCAACGGTCAGATCTGACCCGCCTCAGGCCAGATAACCCAAACCCGCTAGGGTTTCTTCATTTCTGCCTAGCGCTGCCCTGGATTCCAGCCGTTGGATTAGATTTGATCCAACGATCCAAGATGACCCATATTAGGGTTTTAACCCTAATTATCATTCTATCACCGCCGACGAAGGATTTGAACCGTTCGATGGAGCGCATGTGATGCACACACCAACCCCCTAGGTTTTCCCAGCCACAAGAACTGCCATTGTCGCTCCTGCCAGAGTTATCTCAACCGACCGCCTGCTTTAATCAACCAAATCATTCAATCATCAGAATAATATCAAAAACCTAAATAAAAAATGAAAACCAAATCAGACCAAAATCCTGATGGGGATTTACTTTCTGGATATCAACATGCTACCCGATTAAAAAGGGGTAAACAGAGAGAAAAAATGAGGAACCAAAGGGGGAGAGTTTCGGAAAAGAGAAAGAAGAAAGAGAAAAATGAAAGAGAAAGAGAAAAATCACATATAAAATTAAAAGAGAAAAAGAGATGAGGTGAGAGGAGAAAAAAGAGGGTTTTCAGATAGAACATAAAAGAAGGAAAAAGAAATAATAAGAAGGGGTTCTTACCTAGGTTCGGTGCCAGAAACCCAATGGTCGTCGGAAGCTTCGAGTTTTCAGAAGGTAAACCCTAGATTTGAGGTAAAAGGGTCGGTTTTAGACTATAATGGGCTAATATTTGGGCTGAGGAAGATGAGAGGAAGATTCAAGGATCTTTTGACTCTTTCGACCACCGTGAGAGCCATCATGAGCGTCGGCGGCGGCGACGACCTCTCTCTTCCCCGATGTGAAAGTTGAGAGAGTTTTGAATTTCTCTCTCTCTTCTCTCGGTTTGAAAAAAGCAAATGAAGACTTTGGCTGAATTTTGGTCTTGTTGTGGCCTTAAATACCATATGCGAAACGATGTCGTTTTATAAAAGAGGGTTCAACGTGTTTTCATATTTAGGCTAATAGTGCATTTAGTCCATGCATTTTGTAATTTTACCTATGTCTTTTATTTTTCTAGGAGCAAATCACAGTTTAGGTCCCCTGTTTTGTAATTTCATTATGAAACCATTAATTTAAATCTACTGATATTCTACTTTGAGCATTTAATTTCCTATGTTTATTTTTAAGTCAATGACTCTATGTCTTATCTTATTTTCTTTGATGTTCGAATCTGACCCTGACATTCAAGAATCTTTTATTTTGGTCATTATTTCATATGGTTGCATTTTGGTATAATTTTAATTGTTCCTTTCATGTTTCTGTTTGAGTTTATTTTAGTCCTTAATGTTATTTATGGATTATTTTCTTTTCTGGTGTTTATATTATCTAATATATTTGTTTGTGGCTCTAGGTTGTTTATAATCACTTTTATGTCCTTCAAGTTTTGTTAATCCTATTTTGGTCCTTTAAATACTTTTTTGGTGATTTTATTTTGATTTGTATTGTTCGCTTGTTTTTATTCTAGTCCTTTATATTGTAAATATTTTATTTAACATATTTCCATTCACGTTTATTTCCATTGTATTTCTTTATCTAAATATTATTTGAATATTTTCAGTAACTGTATTTGTAGAACGGGCGTGAAAAGTATCATTTGATAGAAGTGGTACAATCTGATACGACGTTCGAACGAAATGGGACTTGAAATAAATTTAGTTTATTTTACTAATTAATTTTTTTATGATTCAATGCGTTTTTATGTAGCAATTTATTTGGTTGTTTGCAAATTGTCGATATTCGATTTATACTCGATTTGCGCTTTTTAAATCAATGAGGAGGGAATATTTCTTTTAAGAAAGAAATAAAAAGAGATAGCCTTCCCATCAGAGGATGAGCGAATCTTGATATTTATTTTCAAATTAAAAGATTTTCCCTAATAAATAATTCGAAACAAATTAATCAATGTTCAATAAACAAATCATATTTTAACTTTATGTTCGATTTATGATTTCAACTACTACGACAACGTGTAAGCGATTGAGTACCAATTTTGGGCGTTGTGGGGGTATTAATCATTCCCCACGTGTAATCGACTCCTGGACCCGTAAAATTGAGTTTTTGGTAAACACATACTAATTTTTGTCTTAAAAAACAATTTTTCTTTAAAATTGTTTTAAAAGATGTTTTTAGGTATTCGACCTACCTAATCCAAAGGTCGATGGTGACTCTCATTCGATTTAATTCAAACTAATTCAAAATCTGCAAATTTTCAAATAATAAAGTCATAATTATTTTTTTAAATAATATTTAATTGTTTTTCAAAAAAATGATTATGACACTTGTGTTAATTACAAATAGGCACATGATTTATTGTGTAACAAGTCCATCCAACACTTGATTATTTAAAAGACATATAATAATTATGTATAAACACCTTATCATGCATGTTTCAAACTTGCTAACCATGCCATAAAACTTTTATCACTAATATATCAAATACGATATGAATAACGAGTTGTTTAATGTGAAAATGAGAAGAGAGTGGAAGAGGAAAATGTGTAAAAAAGAGACTGATATATTAGTTTATAAAAAAGGATCATTAGAATCTTATAGAAATAATATTAGCACCGACACTTTTGAATAGGTATTCCCCTATTATGGTAACAAACGTTTCCTTTCCCGGAAAATGTCTTAAAAAGGTGTTAAGTTTGAATATTGAGCCAGGAGAGAAATTAGTTTCTATTTTGAAAGGAAAAATCATAAATATTTTTCCATCTTGGGATGAACCGTAAAAATTGGGGGGGGGGGATAATGTGTTTCGTAAGAGAATCCAAGAAAATAAAAATATGTGAATGTCAGGCAAGAAAAAGAATCACGTTAAACAAGTCCTGAAACTCGCAAGTTCAAGTTGCAACATATGTGTCTTGTCGTGTCATTCATACCAAGTTCCTCCAAAAGGTCCTATTTCATAGCATTTATTTGTTTTGAAATAATAGTTTAATCCACATATTTCTAACCAACAATCGATATAAATTTAACAATCTTATTATTAGACAATTCATGGATTAATTAAATAAATTTTAAATTTTAATTTCGATAAATTAGAAAACAATGCGTGTTATATATATATATTGTAAATGTATATGAACGTTATGTTTCAAAGACATCCCCTGATATCCATCCTAGATATTTTCAAAATATTGGAAGTTGCAGACAACGTGAAAAAAAATAATCAAGTTGCATCATGTGTGTTTTTGTTTTCTTAGAGGTGAAAAAGTAAATGGAAAAATAGGGAAGCATAGACTAACGAAAAGTCTTGTGGGCTATAATTAGAATTTCAGGATAATAATTGACATGCCAATCTCCTCTGCTGAGCCTGCTGCACTCGAAGCTCTTTAAATTGTCCAGCCAAGCTGTCACTTCTCTTCACTAACACCCTTCCAACTTTGCTCTTCTTTGTAACAAAGAAGAAGCAATGAGCCGAATTAAAGAGATTCTCGCCAATTTTTCTGGTTCAGCCAAACACATTTCCTCAAACAAGAAAATTTTCTTGGCAGTTTTTGCATCTTTAGTCATTGTTACTGCCATAATCGGTATTGGGGTGAGTTCACTAAATGACGAACACGATACCTCCCATCACCCCATTGTGAAATCGGCTTGTAGTGTCACATTCTACCCTGAGTTATGCTTCTCAGAAGTTGCTAAAGTTCCTGCTGGAACAGCCAAGAAGGTGAGGAGCCAAAAGGATGTCATCGTATTGTCTCTCAACATCACCACCACCGCCGTCGAGCACAATTACTTCAACATCAAGAAGCTGTTGACTCGAAAGGGGTTGACGGTGCGTGAAAAGACCGCCCTCCATGATTGTCTGGAGACCATCGATGAGACCCTCGACGAGCTTCACGAAGCTGTCGAGGATCTTCATGAGTATCCAAAAAAGAAATCTTTGGTTCAGCATGCCGATGACCTCAAGACCCTCATCAGTGCTGCCATGACCAACCAGGAGACTTGCTTGGACGGCTTTTCTTACGAAGAGGCCGACAAGAAAATTCGTCAAGCGCTGATTGATGGAGAGAGGTACGTCGAAAAGATGTGCAGTAATGCGCTTGCCATGATCAAGAACTTGACGGACACTGACATTGCGAACGAGATGACGCGCAAGACATCGAACAGGAAGCTGAAGGAGGACGAGAATGGCATTGCCTGGCCAGAGTGGTTATCCACCGGCGACAGGCGTCTGCTTCAGTCGTCTTCGGTAACCCCTGACGTGGTTGTGGCGGTAGATGGAAGCGGAGACTTCAAAACGGTGTCGGAAGCGGTGGCCAAAGCACCGGAAAAAAGCAGCAAAAGGTATATCATTAGAATCAAAGCAGGTGTCTACAAAGAAAACGTAGACATCCCAAAGAAGAAGACTAACATAATGTTTATCGGAGACGGGAGGACCAGAACTATCATCACTGGGAGTAGGAATGTGGTGGATGGAAGCACCACTTTCCACTCTGCTACAGTTGGTAAGTCCATTTTCACTTCCTTTATATTTTACATCAATTCACCTTATTTTCTTTCATGATCATTTAGTTTGGTTCAGGAGAATTTGTTTCCTAAAAAATGAACAACTTAGTAAAGTACCATACGCCTCAGCTTATCCCTTCAGAGTGATTCATATTGTCAAATTAACCATAATTGTTTGAACTTTCCTACTTCACCTCATTAGATTTAGGGAGCGGTGCACATGGTCTGATTCACTAAAGGTGAATTCTTCAAACATGATATCATACTTTATATACAATATATATAAAGAATAAAAGAATATTATACAAAATGGGCAAATAATCCACTGAATTACCAGTTGTCTGATTACAACTTGTAAACGTCATTTTCCCATTATTATTTTACAATGGAACGGAATATCAACCCTACCAATGAGATTTTTCAAATAAATCCTTTTATCTTATTTTTCTGGAGAGAGGTTTACATCTCTAAGCGTAGATTTTAGTAGATAATTTTCCCACTCGTCTTCTTTATTTCCATCTCTTGCTTCATCTACCTCTCATTCAATCGTATAACAATTTTCCCCATTTTTCCTTTAGTGGATGATATTCATCTGAAACCATGTGGCCAGTTCATGCATTCGCATCACACCCGGCACTCCAAGCCAACGTACGGTACAAAATTTGTTTTTTCTTTTGTCTTTTATGATTAAACACTTCGAAGCCATACCGATAAGGCTCCAATGGCTGATGATGGAAGGGCCCAACACATGCTGAACGATGGGTCTCGTTTAATCGATTTCCATTTTTAGGCGACGTTAACAGTTCAATGATATTGTGAGCAGTTGAGGCAGCTCCATGGAATGGCATTGTAGCACTAGTACCTTTTCGCTTTTGATTATTGGTCCCCGATTCTCGTCCTTTGCTTAGGCATAAGAGTTGGTATGGGTTCGCCATAAAGCATTTGGCTTTTCGTAAAGATTGCAATATTTTATTAGACTTTGTTTCGTTAGCTGTGATGGTATCTGGCTTTATCCCCCTCGATACACCGTTTGATCTGAAACCATAAAATTAAAATAAATAAAAGCAATTGAATTGTTCGTTAGCAATATGTCTTATTAGGCAGCTGGCATCATTAAATTGCAGAAACAAGTACCTTTGAGCTAATTTATAGTAGTACTCCAAATAATACAGAATCACATGGGTGCTTATTAGGTACTATATGCCAAATAAAACATTGCCGATTTAATCTTTACAGTTTTTGAATTTCATGCTGATCATCCTAATTTATAAATGTTCACATGTGGTTGCAGCTGCGGTTGGTGCAGGGTTCCTTGCCCGAGACATAACCTTCGAAAACACAGCGGGTCCTTCAAAGCATCAAGCCGTCGCTCTCCGTGTCGGTTCGGATCTCTCAGCATTCTACCAATGTGACATGCTGGCATACCAGGACACACTCTACGCTCACTCCAATCGGCAGTTTTACATCAACTGCATCGTGGCTGGAACCGTTGATTTCATCTTCGGCAACGCTGCAGCCGTGTTCCAAGACTGTGACATCCATGCTCGAAAGCCGAACTCAGGGCAGAAAAACATGGTGACAGCCCAAGGCAGGACCGACCCTAACCAAAACACTGGCATTGTGATCCAGAAATGTAGGATAGGTGCCACTTCTGATTTGCAACCTGTAATTTCAAACTTCCCGACATATCTTGGCAGACCTTGGAAGGAATATTCAAGGACTGTCATAATGCAATCGACTATCAGTAATGTGATCCACCCTGTCGGATGGCACGAGTGGAGCGGGAGTTTTGCCCTGAAAACATTGTTTTACGCGGAGTACGAGAACACCGGTGCCGGTGCTTTGACTTCCGGGAGGGCGAATTGGGAAGGGTACAGGGTGATCACTAGTGCAACCGAGGCTCAGGATTTTACTCCTGGCAGGTTCCTTGGTGGTGGAGGTTGGTTAAGCTCTACAGGCTTTCCTTTCTCTCTTGGGTTGTAATAAGTTTGAAGCTTGTACTGTCATGTAACAACTACTACTTGTCTGGTTTGAGATTACATTGCGGCCATGTATATGTCAAATTATTACTAATGTAAAAGTCAAAATTAGCGTATGAAAAGGTTTTCTTCAAATTTTTATCTGATGACACGACTTCAGTTCATGACAAGATTCCATAAAGTTAGTGAATGGGCTCTTTACCAACCAGACGTTGGTTAGAGAGAGATCTCGAGTAGCTGAGGTGTAAATGATCCATGCCTGCTTTCAATGTTGACTGTAGTCGTGGCCCAATGCTGGCACCTGGTTTTTAATGGGGTTTTTCTTATAAAATTCTAGGAAATCAAAAGTTCAAGACCCTTACCTGTTAAATCCCAATAGGCCAATTTTCATAAAACCGACCATTTGTCAAAGGAATTGATGCCCCAAAAATCTGAAATCACTCAAAGAATCCATTGACAAATGGAAAGTAAAAATGCTGCCGATAATCACGCATTTTAATTCCTTAACATTCGCTTACAAGAGTCATGCTCATGTTCATACATCAAACCAAAATTAAATGTTGGCGCAATCATTGGCGAATGCAACGCGTAGGTGTCCTTCCACGCGCATGGTAGGGGGTCTTATCAGTCTTAAAAATCACAGCTGCCACTTATGTAACTTGTGCATCCAGTTTAACAAGTTACATTCATATTCTTTGAAAATGATTAGTTGCATCTTTCTAGTTTCCAACAGTTCAAGCTTGTTAATGCTCACTTAAATGATACATTTAAACTGTTTATTCATTTTTTTCATCTCATGAAAATTTAAACACAGGGTGTGACTAGGGTAGAAACATATAAATGTAGGTTAACGTAAGATAATTATGATAATATTGAATAAATTATAATTTTTATCAATCGATTTTGATCGTATTTTTTACTTTAGTCATTTAATTTAAAAAATTTCAATTTAATGCCGAATTTTCAAAATATTTTAAATTTAGTATCTCAAACATTAAATAAAACTAATAGGCTTATATGACATATTTTTGTTGATGTGAAAGTCGCATATCATCCATTTAATTTTTCTTTTTAGTGTTAAAATCATCATATTTTAATGTCTTCTTCAATTTCTTTAGATATTGATAAATTTATTTCTTCATTCCCCTATCACTCTCTTAATTTATATATTATAAGTTTTTAAAAACTTTCGAAGCATCAACTCAAAAACCTAGACAAAATTGATTTTGATCTACAATCTCTATCCTTCGTTCGATCAATATAGAATCATGATATATTGTTCATCTCTTTCTTCTTAATCTCTTCATTGTTGGGATTTAAAAGATGATCTAACATTAGAAAATTAAAGAGAATTCAAAAAAAATTACGTTAAAATTTTGCGAATGAAGATTTTATATTTATTTTTATAAATTTAAAAGAATTTTTTTAATTTTTTTCATAATTTTAAAAAGACAAGTGTTTGTCATAACACTACTGTTAAATATACATTTAAAAATAATATGAAAACAGAGTGATCAAATTAATTTATTTAAAAAGATTGAGTGATCAAAATAGAAATTTAATAAAAGTTAAATATGAAAATTCGCAATTTACCCTAACTTATTATATAAAATTCTATATCATAATTCTGTCTGGTTTCAAGATCGATTATGATTATAAATTATAGTAATACCATCTTAAAGAAGAGTCGTTGAAGAGAAATCCTTTCACCTCCGTTTTCTGTGTAAAATATCTCTCTTTCTTTGTATAAAAAGGACTTCCTACAAGCAAAGATCTTAGGAGAAATTTAGAAAAAGGCGAGCTATGGATTCAATCAAGTCTTTCAAGGGGTATGGTAAAGTAGACGAGGGCGAAGAGCGAGCTGTCAAGCAAAAGACACGAAGGCATCTCGTCATCCTCGTTGTCTCCATTATCGTGCTGTTAGCTGTTATCATCGGCGCTGTTGCAGGGACTCTGATACACAAGAGGAACAGCTCGTCTTCCAACAATGTACCCCCAACCGATTTGACTCCGGCAGCTTCGTTAAAGGCAGTTTGCGGCGTGACCGAGTACCCACTTTCCTGCTACTCCAGCATTTCTTCCATTGCTTCCTCTAACGCAACTGACCCAGAGATCCTCTTCAAGCTGTCTTTGAAATTAGTTATCGACGAGCTCTCTAAGTTGTCTCAATATCCCAAGAAGCTGCAAGCTGAAACCGATGATACCCAGCTGAAACATGCTTTAGATGTGTGCGGAACCCTGTTTGATGACGCGGTGGATTGGCTCAATGATTCGGCAACTTCTCTGGAAGTTGGGGAAGGAGTGTCGATATTGTCGGATTCCAAGATCAATGACTTGAAAACTTGGCTAAGCACAACGATAACTGATCAAGAAACATGCTTGGACACCCTTGAGGAATTGAACACTACAGAGCATTTCAACGCCACACTTGTCAAAGAACTTAGAGCCGCCATGCAGAACTCGAGTGAATATACCAGCAACAGTTTGGCCATCGTTGCGAAAATCCTGGGTTTGTTGACTGATTTCAATATTCCGATTCACCGGAGGTTGCTTGGGTTTCAAAAAGTTGCCCCTTCAGAGTTCCCAGCTTGGATTAGTCCCACTGAAAGGAAACTGTTGCAGGAGTCCAAGCCTACACCAAATGTTATCGTGGCTAAAGATGGTTCCGGCCATTTCAAGACGATAAATGAAGCGGTGAAATTGATAGGAAAGAAGAACGAATCGAGATTCGTGATATATGTGAAGCAAGGCAAGTATGTTGAGAACGTGATTCTGGATAAACACAAGTGGAATGTCATGATTTACGGTGATGGCAAGACTAAGACCATCATTTCCGGTAGCAAGAACTTTGTTGATGGAACTCCCACCTTTGCTACAGCAACTTTCGGTAAGTAATTTCTCAATCTTCATTGACATGATACTATCCAGTATTTACTAAATTTGTTTTTATTAGTTTTAAATCTATAATTTCAATTAGATTTGATGATCTGTAGTAAACCCTCAATTTGTTTATGTTGTATTTGTCCCTTGGATTTCTGAAAACACAACAAATCAAGATGCACGAAGCATAAATCAGAGAAATGTGTGATGTTTTATGGATAAGATTAAAAGAACCACATTGTGATTACAGGCTATCATGTGAAGAAGTTGTGTTACACATTCCTAAAATTCTGCACTTTCTCACTTTAATGTTAGTTGCCTCTGCACTCTTGGAAATTTGTTTTGGTTGCCCAACCATGTGCTTGACTTGTTTGTGATCTACAAGTGTCTGCACATGTGATCTCTGTCATCCAAATAATTTAAAAGGCCTGCAACTGATATATGGTACTGCCACTTGAGTTATATAAGGTGACAAGGTCTTGTTGTATCTAAGGAAAATGTTCTTCAATACTCCCCTCTCGTCTCATTATGTTTGATTATTAATTAAATGGATACAGAACCTGATAGTACTTTGTGTGAATTATCAGCTGTGGCAGGAAGGGGGTTCATTGCAAAGGACATAGCGTTCGAAAACACAGCAGGTGCGGCAAAGCACCAAGCGGTGGCTATGCGGTCCCAATCAGATCGCTCGGTATTCTATCACTGCACATTCGATGCCTACCAGGACACGCTCTATGCTCATTCCAATCGTCAGTTTTACAAAGAATGTGATATTTTGGGCACAATCGACTTCATCTTCGGCAATGCAGCAGTCATCTTCCAAAGCTGCAACATCCTGCCAAGGCAACCATTGCCGAACCAGTTCAACACCATCACAGCTCAAGGCAAAAAAGACCCTAACCAAAACACTGGCATCTCAATTCAAAAGTGCAGAATAGCAGCATTCGGCAACCTCACTGCCAATACCTACCTTGGAAGGCCCTGGAAAGAGTACTCCACTACTGTGATTATGCAGTCTAGCATTGGGCCGTTCTTGAACCCTGTGGGATGGAGAGAATGGGTTACTAATATTGACCCACCTACCACAATCTTTTATGCAGAATACCAGAACACTGGACCTGGATCAACCGTGGATAGAAGGGTGAAATGGGCAGGTTATAAGTCCACTCTCTCGAAAGCTGACGCGGGGAAGTTCACAGTGGCTACGTTTATTCAAGGTCATGATTGGCTGCCTGATGCCACTGTATCGTATGAACCAACTTTATGATTTGATAATAGAGTCAAGGGTATAGTCGAGAATTTAGATAAGGTCAAAGATCAAATACTGAGATGATGTGTGCGTGCATTTGTAGAATTCTGTTATATTTTATATAACTCAAATGATTACACTCCATGTTTTTTGCCTCTATATTCCTTACCAGAAGGTGGAATGCATCCATAAAATTCCCATGCGAGGAACCAGGGACGGAACCATATTTTAGTACAGGGGTCAAACTATAATTAACAATAGAAAATAAAATGGAAAAATCAAAATTTAAAGGTCTAAATTGGTAATTATTCCTATTTCTTTTAATGGTAAAAAAAATTTTGGGGGGCAGTGGCCACCCCCGGGGCATACATGGCTCAGTCACTGCGAGGAACGACCAGCAAGATTGAACAAAGCATCTTGGGATAAGGATACATGGAGGGATGAGTTTAGTTGAGTCAGCAGTCTTTTGTTCATTTACCATACCAAGTAGTAACAACTTCCATATTTAACCATGGAAAATGAATGATGAAATTCTGGGTTCTCGAAACTGCAAAGTTCGTTCAGTTCTTTTGACATTCCAAATCGAATAATCCATTAACTTTTTGTTAGATGATCAATTGGCAAATATGGTCAAACCTGTTAACATTCAATCCCCATCTCAGCAAACATTTAGCAAAGTCAAATGAGGATTGGATATTGTGGCTAAGATGTGATGAAAAAATATCAGATAAGATTATGATGCTAAGTATATAACAACTGGACACCATATTATTAATTCTCAAGAGTGATTCAGGCAAAGGATAGAAGCCCGAAAGTAGTTCTTTATTCACTTTGGTCTTATCTCACTTCTTAGGGTTTTTTCCCCATTGAGAGTTTATCTTCTTACGTGAATCTGCAAAAGAATGCATGCTAATCCATATAACTTGTGTTTTTTAGGAAGAGAATTCAAATATGGCTAGTCTGTATTGTATTCTCATTAAAGTTATACCAAAGCTTAGATGTTAGGCATGCCAAGAGGGCGAACATTACAACTTGCGTGAAAGGCCTTTGCATTTATTGATTAAAAAGGTAATCCTCTGGTTCATCCACGTGTATTTATATAGTCATATTTATGTCCGACCTATTCTCATTAACTTTGGTAAACGGTAAAATAATAGGCAAACTCGAACAAGTTGAGGATTTTAGCGTATAGGGCATTGCCATTCGGCCTAGATAGAGAGGCAAAAATCTCGAACCGTGAGCTAAAAGGAAAGTTAACTACAAGTAAGTCATTTTCGATTTATTCGAGGAAAACAACGAAGCTTTAAAGGCCCCTAAAAGGACATAAAAAAATCTACATGTTTATCTCTGTCACTACTTTTTGTCTTCTCGGCCTTACGCGTGTGGATTGTGTGTATATAAATAGGCAGAGATGCGGAGATTTGTGATTGGCAGTGCTAGAAACCTTATTGAACGTTCGCGTCAAAGATTTCAGTTCCAACGGCCTCTACTTTCATCTTCATATCGTCTCTTGTCCTCTACTCCTGCTGCCGATTCCCTTTCCTCTTCCTCTTCAACAGTGGCTCCTCCTGTTTCTCTTAATACTATTAACCTCAAGGTACTCTCTTTTTACTTTTTTTCTTCCGTTTGGATTGGTTCTAAATATGGGTTTCTTTTTGCTTTCTCTTCTTTCTTTTTGTTTAGTGTTTGATTTGATGTCAGGTGTTGATTTTTTTCTTTTCATTTTGATGTTTTTGAATCTGGGTTTTATGTTTTGCGTGTTGTGTTTTTCTTGTTATTACAAAAAGTCCTCATCTTTGATCATGAGGACCGGGCTTTGAATTCATTCAATTACTATCCCATTCTCTGTTTTTTCTTCCATTTTGTTATCTGTTAACTGTATGTAGTGTCGGAATTCTCCTTTTCGAATCAATGATTTCTTGTACCCATCTTTCATTGGTCAACTGTTGTATTCGTTTATTCGTTCCCTTTCTATTGAGTATTGATGTGCAAGTGTCTTTTTAGGTTTTTCATGTTCTTTTACTAGCATTTTTCTTTCATAGGACCAATTCTTTTTTTGCATACTCTCGTATGGAAATGATGGTTGCTTTACATTGGCTAGCGATCTGTTTGTAGTACATGCATTGACTAATCAATCGTTATGATGTCTATTAAGTTTGTTTTTGTTAAAACAATTTTTTTAGAGACTTGAGAAACAAGGAAATGGTAAAAGCAATGGCATTAAGTGTAGAGTTCAAATTTCTGGACACTTCTATGTATTCATTCAGGATATGCAATATTATGATTCTAGTTTGAATCCGCTAATACCTTTTGCATCATCTGTCTATTTGATTATCGCTAATTCTCTCTTTATCAACAGGTCATAGAATGCGAGTATGCTGTCCGAGGTGAGATTGTCACCCTTGCTAAGGTAACGTGCCAATCTGCTTCATCTTTGATGTATTTTTAATAATTATTTGTTTTAAGTTATATTCTCATGCTTGCGTGTGATAAGATGCATATTAGACATATATTCTATGATATTTTCCTCGTATTTGAATAACTAAAATTGCTTAAATCATGGATTTTGATTATATTTCGTATTTTGTGGATTAGGTTGAAGATTTGGATAAAACAAGTTCAAAATCTAATGATTAGCATGGTCTTCATAAAATCCCCAAATTAAGGAAGAAAAATCGGAATTCAAGAAGTTGGCAAGACCAGAAGAGGTTTTCGCATAAGGCGTGGGCATAACTTATTAATCCTGAGCTATCGCAGAAGAAGTCTTCAGTTATGGCGTGGGCGAGCCTTATCAGTTCGTACAACCTTAAATTAGGGTTACGAATTTACAAGAGAAAAAGAGTTTAATGATGGCTGGAAGACTCTTTTGAATTATTCTTATCTTTAGAAAAGGATGAGGGCATTTAAAACTCTTATTTTTGTGGTATTTTCTTTAAGGGAAAATTTCTTATCTAGAGTAGGAAAATCCTTATAAAAGGGGAGTTAGTGCATTAGTTTTACATCAAGTTTTACATTAAGTCTTTCATTAAGTTTTTCTTTTGGTTTTCTTTCATTTATGAGTGGTTAAATACTTTTGTTCCAACTGGAGGATAATTGAAGTTTTGGTTCTTTAAGGATTGTGAGATCTAAATAATTTTCATTATTCTTTTACTTCTTTGCTATTTATATATATTCTGTTTTTATTAAGAATTATTGTCTTGATTGATTGTGCAAATGGCCAGTTGTTCAATTATCAGGTTGATAAATTGTCATTTAGAACTTTAAATCCGTAATTGTTTAAACATTCTAATATTAGTGGTAAAGTAACATAATTGATTTTGATTATGTTATGAAGGTATATAACCTAGTCTAAATGAATCGAGTTTGTGTATCCGTTGGCTAGAATTGGTGGTCCCTCTAGTGGTTAATGTTGTTGGTGGATTAAATCTTAAGAGCTTGTCTAGGGTTGTTCATTAACAAGAGAAATAATAAAAGAGCTTCTATTGATTATCAAGAAACTAAGGAGAGACAAGTTGTTAGAGCTTCTCAATAACCATAACCAATTTAGTGAAAAGTATAATATTTTATCATTGCATCTATGATCAATTCTCTGAACCAATTCTGAAATTATACCTTTAGTTGGATATTTACTTGATATTGATTTCTCTAAATTCTTAGTTGATTATAGTTGTTTTTTCTTTTTATTTCTCTTAATTTCAAAACCCCCTTTATTTGTTTAAATTTTCATTAAAAGAAGTTTACCCAATCCCTGTTGATTCGACCTTGCTTATCGCTATTATAATTTATATTTCTCAAAGCAGGTATTATTATTTGTTGGATTCAACACCCACCAAATTTTTGGCACCGTTGTCGGGGATTGGTGTCATTTAGACGTATTTTAATGCTACATTCTTCTCGTGCAGGTGAACTCCAATACGATCCTGAAATTGAGAAGACCACTCGCAACGATTCTGAAATAGAAGGAACAATGGCCAACGAAGAAAGAACTCTAAAAGAATTGGCTGCACCAAATGTGAATCAACAACCGCTCTGCATTGACAACCCAGCTTTGGAGTTAGCTTTTGAATTAAAATCTGGTTTAATTCATTTGTTGCCTACTTTTCATGGACTTGAGAATGAAGATCCTCATAAGCATTTGAAGGAATTCCACGTGGTATGTTCAAGTATGAGACCGCGAGGAGTTACTGAAAAGCATATAAAACTGCGTGCTTTTCTGTTCTCGCTAGCCGATAGAGCTAAAGATTGGCTCTTCTATTTACCCCCTGGTTCTGTAACTACTTGGGCCGATATGGTGAGGATGTTCCTTGATAAATTTTTCCCTGCTTCAAGAGCCACTGGCATTTGAAGGGAGATATGTGAAATAAAACAAAAAGATGCTGAGACCTTTCACGAGTATTGGGAAAGATTCAAACGACTGTGTGCAAGCTGCCCTCAACATGAGATTTCTGAGCAACTTCTCATCCAATATTTCTATGAGGGACTTCTACCCATGGAGAGGAAGATGATGGATGCAGCTAGTGGAGGCGCCATAGTGAATAAAAATCCTCACGATGCTAGGGAATTGATCTCCATCATGGCCGCCAATTCACAACAATTTGGTTTTAGGCAAGACACATCTCCAAGAAGAGTGGATGAGGTAGGTTCATTTTCCATTGAACATCAATTATCGCATCTTACCTCCCTTGTTCAACAACTGGTTATAGGAAAAACGCAGTAAGTGAAAGCTTGTGGGATATGTGCTGCGATCGGTCACCCAACTGACATGTGCCCTACGCTTCAAGATGATTCTCATGAGTACGCCAATGCAGTTGGAAGGTTTCCCAATCCTCCACAAAGGAAATATGATCCTTACTTAAATACCTATAATCCATGATGAAGGGATCATCCTAACCTTAGCTATGGACTAAGACTATCGCAATTCCAGCGTTTTCCACTTGAGCAGTCTTCTTTAAAGCCAGGTATGTCTCTAGAAGAAATTGTCAAATCACTTGCAACTAATACACATCAATTTCAGCAAGAGACAATAACAAGCATACAAAATTTGGAGAATCAATTGAGTCAATTGGCATCCTCCATGAGTCGGTTAGAATCCCAAGGTAAGTTACCTTCACAAACCATTGTTAATCCAAAGCAAAATGTTAGTGCAATCACATTGAGAAGTGGGAAGAAGTTGAAGGAACCTAGTCAATTGGCACATAGGAGAGCCTTAGAAGAAGAAACTGAAAAGGAAGTTGTTGCTCCTCAGACTCAAAAATACCAACCTAAAGGACTCAAAAGCGAAAAACTGAAGGAATTTGTCATAAATCCTCATTTTTCCTCTAAATTTGCTAAGTCCAAGAAAGAAGCAGAAGAGAAAGAAATTCTTGAGACATTTCGCAATATAGAGGTAAATATTCATTTACTTGATGCAATTAAACAAGTACCTTGATATGCTAAAGTTCTTAAAGAATTGTGCACCAACAAGAGAAAGCTCAAGGGTAATGAAAAGGTAAGTATGGGGGAGAATGTTTCAGCTGTCATCCAGAAAAAACTACCCCCAAGTGCAAAGATCCAGGTATGTTTACTATCCCTTGTAAACTCGGTAATGTTAGGATTGAGAGAGCAATGTTAGATCTAGGAGCCTCAATAAATATCATACCTCTTTCTATTTATTCATCTCTGAATGTTGATCATTTGAAAGAAACATGAGTGATTCTTCAACTTGCTGATAGATCTAATGTATATCCTGAGGGAGTTTTAGAGGATGTTTTGGTGCAAGTTAATGAATTGGTTTTTCCTGCAGATTTTTATGTGCTTGATATGCAAGAAGATGATTCTTCTAAATCAACAACAATTTTGTTAGGAATGCCATTTTTTAAAACAACTAGG